CTGTTGACAACAATGAGATGCTTCTACTACCAAGGAATCAACAAGAGCATGTGGATGACCACATATAGAACATGTTAAATTCTTCCCGCCTTATACCTGCCAGAGACAGGTATATTAGAATTAATAGCATCGACCATACATGAGACTCCAATTTTTAAATTTATTTATTTTAAATTTACTTTTTTTACTAATTACAGCTTATTCACTTTGCATCCCAACTGTACCCCCCTCCCTTATCCCCTTCCAGTCTCACCCTCCTTCCCTCTTCTCCACCCATGCTTCCCCACCCCCCAGTCCACTGATAGGTGAGGTCCTCCTCCTCTTCCATCTGCTCCTAGCCTATCAGGTCTCATCAGGAGTGGCTACATTGTCTTCTTCTGTGTCCTGGCAAGGCTGCTCGCCCCTCAGGGGGAGATGATCAAAGAGCCAGCCACTGAGATCATGTCATAGAGAGTCCCTGATTCCAATCTTAATGCACACAATTTAAATTCTATTCAATAAATTATCTGTCCTTTAAATTAACTAGATTTGAACCCAAACTGATGTATTTCAGTGAGGAATATATAATCCAGGGAATTTTAACTTTTTGCACATTACTTACAATGTAAAACTGCTTACGAACATCTACTTCATTTTCAGGAGTTGCATTTTGTTTCTTTGGACTGGTAATTTAATTATCTTCTCATTTTTAGTAGAGAGATATATGCTGCTGATTTTACTACTGTCTCTTTCCAGTAGTCAGGTATAGTACAATCATGAGTTTGAGATTAGCTGTATTACACAATGAAGATCTATCTCTAAGGCATGTGCACAAACGAAGACCACATCTAAATTGTGTTTGTAGGACGCCAAGAATTTCAGATTATCCTTGGAATTTAATGAGGTAATTTAAAGAATATAGAACATAAAAAGCCTTTTCAAGAATATGATGGCTTTTAAACCAAAATTATCTAGTCCTTTTTGGGGAGGGCTTTTTAAAAGTTCATTGAAGGAGGTGACAGTTTTGAATGTACCCTCAAAGTGTACTCATTGGATTGATTGACTCTTTAACCATTCTGATATTTGATGGAGACACTTTCAGTCTCAGAGCTGGTTGAAAATGATTATGAAAAATATCTTTGGGTCCTAGATTGAGGGAAAAGTTGGAAACAGGCATATCACTTTATATAAGGGGCAATCATGTATATTGAGGAAGCTCACTACAGGCTTGAACTAATGTACCTTCTCAAATCTACCAGCCCAGTGAGTGACAAACCTACCGTTTACTTCTTATATGGTATCATTTCTTACCCACTGTATATCACCTTGTTATTTGTGATTTTTTTCACTCCTTTCCCTTCTAGAACCTTCTTTTTCTTATTTCCGTCTCTCTTCTATTCCAGTATTTTCTTTCTTCTCCATATTTACACTACTTTGATCTCTTGATTGTTCTCATATATTTTCACTTTATTTCTCAGTTAATTCATTTGTACTTTTCATCTACCCTCTTAGCTTTCCTTGTGATTTTGCAGAGAAATTTGAGATATGAAATTTTCTTTGTATTAACTCAGAGTATCAACAAAAGAAAGCAATAAAAAGGATGGGAATAGAGGAAGAATGTGCCTGATCTAGGTGGCTGCTGAATAAGATAGAGGGAAGCTGAGAATTTGAGTCTAGGTTTAATAATATCTGACTGATACTCATTCTAATAAACAGTTTCCTAATTACAGTCTTCTGGTGGACTTACTTGTTAGGATTGACCACCTGAGGCTGGAAGCTGGCTTTTGTGGATAGTTTACCAGGTTAAAAACTGCAGAGAAATGAGAAAGAGCAAGCGAAAGACAGAGAGCTAAAAATCCTTATGTACATGACTAATGTAAAACAAACAAGCAAAAACTAAAGGCTAGAATAGAGTAAGAGATCTGTTTGCTTTTACTGTACTATTTAAGTTAAAACAAGAAGTAAAGATACCTTCTTTCATGTCTCCTAAGCCAGGCCTTGTCGGTGGGTCTTTGTTTAGGAGGAAGTGCAGGAGATGAAAACAGACTTTGAGTTTGCTTTATTAACTGTTGATTAGCTTTCAAACAAAAGATATGTTCAGATGGAGATGACTATGGTGCCAAGCTTAATATAAAGAGAATAGTCTCTTTTTGATTAGCCTGATGAATAGCACCATCTGGGACAATGGTTGCATTTTAAAGCCACTTGTTTATGTTCTATCAGCTCCCTGATAGCTGTTGGCAAGTTACTATTTTGTGCTGTTCTCTGATTTTTGTTTTTCCAGATACAATCTTAGGTGACATTCAGGAAATAACTAAATTAAAAAAAAAAAAAAAGGGTTTATTGTTTTGGTTTGGTTGGTTTTTTGTTTTGTTTTGTTTTGTTTTTTATGGTGGCACTGTTTTCTTTTCTTTGGCCTGATACAATGTTTCATTTGTTCTTACTCTAATATTCACTCTATTTTAAGCACCTACTGTTGGCAAACACTGTTATAAAAGACAGTAGAAGGAAATACTTCACAAAAGTGACTGCTTCCATGGAAGTGTATGTTAAGGTGTATTAGTTTTTCCATTGCTATAAAAGAATGCATGATAAAATCAAAATAAAGGATGGATTATTTTGTTTTGGTTCATGATTTCAGAGGCTTCTATTTGTGGTAACTTGGTTTTATGATTTTGGATCTGTGGTGAGACAGACCATTTTGGGTGTGTGAGGAGAGAATCAATGGTGAATCAGAGAACTTTACAACATCTGGGAAGCAGAAAAAGGTGATGTGTAGTATCCTATCATTCCTTTTAACGGGTGCTCAAAGTGACGAGCTGTGCCTCATTTTCTAAATTGCTTCCAATCTCCCAATACCACCATCATCTTGAAGCCAAAGCCTTGAAGACATAAGTATTCAGGAAACCTTGATTCAAAAGACAACATAGAGCACTAGATAAATAGCAAAGAGGTGAAGGACAGAATGTAGGGCGTGATGACCTATCCTGTGGAGCCTGTAAGGGCTGGACTCCTGGGGAGGTAGTGGATGTGATAGAGAACACAGGAAGGCCTGAGCACACTTCTCAGAGGAGAGATCAAGGAATCAAGGAAAGGTGACATCGCAAGTATCAAGAAGCTGGAATGTTACAGGTGATAACAGCTCCTGCGGCCTTGGAGGCCCTGTGGAAGGCTGTGTGCTTCACGTTACATGACGGCCACGAGGGTAGGAGCACCGTGAGGTAGTGGGAAAGGTGCAGTGTTTACCGAGGTTAGAAACCATAAGCAGAGGATACAAGGATAGAGATCCTGTCTTGAGGCCATGGTCCTCATCCGGGTACAAAGAAAACTCTCAATGCAGCTTCACAGGGCACTATGCTCTTCATACGCTAACTGTGCCATCCTTTTCTGGAGCACTGCTGCATGCTTCAGTTGCAACATTGATGGAGGGTGACTGATCTACCTTATTTGCAGAATACACAGTACGTATGCCTGTCTCTAGATACACAAAAGGCCCAAACCCCTCCAATTTATCTTGTCAATGAATTGGCTGCTCATAGCTAAAACACAGAGGATGAATAAGAGTCTTTATTTTTATATTTTTAAATGTTCACGTAAGTTTCCCTTAGAAGATACCGCCCTCTAGCTTAAACCACTGCAACAAAGTCTCTAGACTTGTTTATCCTAGTTTGTTTCCAGCATGATAAACTTGTCACCTGTTATATTCTCAAATGACAAGAAAGGCAGAAGGTAGAAAATCCCTTCAGAATACCATCTTACTGCTGCCTCTTGGTGGCAGTATTTGCTATCCCTCACTGAAATCAGAACTGAATTTAAAGCTTTTAAAAATCCTTTGCTTCTGATTCCATCCATTTGCCTGCAAATTTTATGAGTGAGGTAATCCAGAAACAGAAACACACATGGTATATGCTCACTTGTAAGTAGATATTAGCCATATGATATAGGATAAACATACTAAAATCTATATTCCTAAAGAAGCTAAACAACAAGGAGGACCATATAGAAGATGCTTAATCCTCATTCAGAAGGGCAATCAGGATAGACATTGGAAGTGGGAGAAGACAGGGAACAAGGCAGAAACCTACCACAGAGGGCCTCTGAAAGAATCTGCCTCGCAGAGCATTGAAGCAGCTGCTGAGACTCATAGCCAAACTTTGGGCAGAGTGCAGGGAATTTTATAGAAGAAGGGGGAGATAGATATACCTGGACAGGAGCTCCACAAGTAAACCAACAGAGCCAAATAACCTGGGCCCAGGAAGTCCTGCAGAGACTGATACTCCAACCAATGACCATGCATGGAGAAGACCTAGACTCCCTGCTCAGATCTAACCAATGGAAAACTTAGTCTCCATGTGGGTTCCCTAGTAAGGGGAACAGGGGCAGTCATAGGCATGAACTTGGTTGCCTGCTCTTTGATCAACTCCCCTGGCTAGGTGGTTTTACTTGGCTACAGAGAAAAAGGATCCAGACAGTCCTGACCAGAGCTGATAGGCTAGGGTCAGTTAGTAGGAGAAGATGACCTCCCCTGTCAGTGGACTAGTGGGAGTGACATAGGGGAAAGGGAGGGAGGTTGGGACTAGAAGGAGATGAGGGAGGGGGCTACAGCCATGATACAAAGTGGATAAATTGTAATAAAAAAATAAAATATGTTAACAATGAAAAATAAATTAAAATCCTGTGTTTCAACACTGAGGTAGTCCTATCATATGTGAACTTTTATTAAGTGAATAACACAATTGAAATTCTTAGGCAGGGACTTTTGGGAAAAAATAAAGAACAGTTGAGAAAAATAATTAAGACTGGTTTACAGGGCAGAGCACAGGGCTACCCTGTTTAAAAAAAATAGCTAGTGACACAGGTGGCATCCTGTGTTTATGAAAAGCAGTCAGATTCGCACGGAGTGTTTACTGGGTTGGAAAAAAACAGGATCTTTTTTGGTACTTATATAGTAAGTTTTTGCTTTTAACTGAGGAAATTTTTGTTCTTTAACGTATTGACTGTCTGCTTCCTTTCCAATCCAGAACCTCAATCCTCTATTTTGGAAAGCCCGAAAATATGTTCAAACGGTGTCCAGCAGGTAAGAAGACCTCTTTAGGATGGCAAATCCCCATTTCTGCTCTTCACCTTAAAACAGTTACTGATCTGTGACTGACATTCCTCTCTGCACAGATGGCCTGGCTGCCCTGGTATTAGCTCACAGGGTAGTCCAGTGAGACAGAGGGAAATGCTTCCTTTCATTTACATTTCATTTCTTGCCATCCCATTCAGCCTTCAAGGGGAACCTACTACAAGCTTTGCAGATTGATATCATTTTATATCAAACCAGAGAGTTGGTCCCAGCTGAAACTTCAGGCCACCCCAGGAAATTTTTGTGCTGTAATGTATCTTAAGCACAGTCCCAACGGGTACCCTTTAAAATGACTTCAGCATGGCCTGTCTAGAATCTAGTATAACACCTACCCACCGTGCTGTGGTTGGGTAAAAGGCCTTGGTGCATGATTTAGCAATGACTGTGTTATTCATCCCTTATGACTCTTTACGTACTTTAGAGGATGGGACATTTGATGTATCTTTTTAGACCCGTTTATGTATTACTACCCGTATCGGTAATCCCTGCCATGGGGAGGCAGAGACAGGTGGAGCCTGGAAACTCACTGGCGTGGTGAGTTCCGGCTTCCATGAGAGACCTTAAACAGGTGCAGAATGATTAAGGAAAACATGTGATATTGACATAGGCCCCCTATGCTCACACCTGCACACACATTTTCTGACACGTATGTAATCGTGCGTATACACACAGAAGTTATAACTGAAAATGTCCAGAAGGAAACACTGCGTAGAGCATTGACTATGGATATCAGCTACTTTTTGGGAATATATATAAGGGATTGTTGAACTTACTTATAATTATTCTCAACTATGCTTTTGAGAATTTTTTTTTTTTTTTACTGTATTAGACAATAAGCTAGTCTAACATTGTCTGCCAACAGGAATGAGGTTGGTTTTGTTCTACTGTGTCTGGTCTATGGACGATGAGGGGACTGTTGCTTGAGCTCTAGAACTATGTTGGTTACTGGTTAATGTGTATTGGCATATATTCTATAGGACATGATGTTATCCCATCTGAATTTGAGAATTGCTGACATCTGAGAATTCTTCAAAGTGAAGACTGAGTTCTGTTTTAAAATAAGTTGATTGTTACATTAAAGTTGTATTCTTCTTGGAATGCGATGGGCTATGAGGCTTAGAATTGAACAATCTCCAGGTTCTCTACAGAATGCTAGCTAGATGATATTTTGTTTTAGAATTAAAGCTTCTCTAAGGACAGAATCATAATATCATCCCCAGCTTACTGTTTGTCATTGTTTTTGATAGACCTGTATTGATTTAGGGTCACTAGATATGTCTGGTAATCTCAGCCTGTGGTTATTTAATTAGTTGCAATAATTAGTTTATAGTGAACCAGAGAAAGAAAGCTAAAATGACAAAAACGGAATAGCCAAGTTGGCAATGGTGTAAAAAACAAGCAAACAAACTATTGTGTTGAGCTGGACAGATAGATCAAATTGTTAAGAACATTCGCTGCTCTTTGCAGAGAACCTGGGTTGAGTATTTATGTACTTACTTGTTGACCTATTTAGCCCTTACAGTAATACTTTAAAATAGCTACCTGTTTTCCTTTTACTGATAAAATGATATTTGGAGGAGCTAAAAGCAACTCCCCCAAAAGCTACAACAGCTATAGCATGTAAGTTAAGATGTGAGCATGGGCATTTACAGATCCCATGATGAACGATTCTACTTTTATATAGATAATCCTCAGGTGACTATTTTGTACCATCTCATTGTAAAACCATTTGATGAATGAAATTGGAAGCTCATTATTATTATTATTATTATTATTATTATTATTACTTTTATTTTACAATTTATTCATTTTATATCCTGGTTGCAACCCCCTCCCTCATCTCCTCCTGGTCCCACCCTCCTTCCCTCTTCCATCTCTCCTAGCCCACTGATAGGGGAGGGCCTCCTCTCCTACTGTCTAACCCAAGCCTATCAGGTCCATTAGCACAGCCTGGATCCTCTTCCTCTGTGGGCTGACTAGGTTGCCCCACCAGGCAGAAGTGATCAAGGAGCAGGCAACCAATTTTATGTCAGAGACTGTCTCTTCTACCCTTACTAGGGAACCCACGTGGAGACTGAGCTGTCTATGGGCTACATCTGAGCAGGGGGTCTAGGCCCTCTCTATGCATAGTCTCTGGTTGATGCATCAGTCTCCACAGTCCCTCTCCCCTCCCCCCGGGGACAGCTTTCTTTGGGTTTGTTGATCTTCTTGTGGGGCTCCTGTCACCTCTGGGTCCTTCTTCCATAAGACTCCCTGCCCTCATTTTTGAAGTTATTCTATTATTTTTAAACTATTCCTTTTATGACAGTCTTATGTCCATATATGTAATGGAAACATATAAGTCTATTATTTTACTTTTGTCTCGAGCTTTGGCAGTTTTACCATGACTTTGAGACGTTAAATTTTATTAGTTGTAGTGTTTAATTGCTTCAGTAGGTTAAGGTTTTTGCCGATGAATCCCTTTGCAGTTTGCATCTTGACCACTAGAGGGCAGCTCTGCACCTCTGTAAATAACCACTGCAGCTGGACAGGAATGCTTTGGGCCAGTTCGCTGTGTGTGGATGGTGATCAGGATTGGTTTGCTGGCCGGTGAGGTGCTGCTGCATTATTCTCTGTTGGAAGAAGAGATGTTCAGGACTGCTTAGCCAGGCCTCCATTGCCTTCCTCACATGTGTGTTCAGACACCTGCTCTCTCTACTGAAACTCTTTGAATGTTACTCTGCCGCATAGTTAATAATTCCAAGAGTCCAGCACTGCACCGCTGGCTGTGAGGATTTGCACCGTGAGGATTTGCATGCTGTCTGCTGTGCATTCAGAATGCAGGGTGTCTTCCTGCCTAGGCTTCCCGGGGGTGCCTGCCTGCCCCATACTTGCTGATTATTTTAAGTTCATAATGTGCTCCGAAGACTCTTGGAGACCTACATTTTTTTTTCATAAAATTAAAGTAAAACATTTTTACCTTTAACAAATACCCTGTGATACTTAAGCTACGATGTAAATGGGAAATGCCTTTACACCCTGTAACAAGGAAAAAAAAAAAGATGACTGTTGATCGTTTTCTCTGACAATGTTGCTTTAACATACAGAATGGTTACCCAGCATGTTTTACTCCATTCTCACCCGGTTGGGCTTTTTAAAGGTTTATTTTCATTTGTGTGTGTGTGTGTGTGTGTGTGTGTGTGTGTGTGTGTGTGTGTGTGTGTGTGTACACAGGTATGTGCACCATGTGTGTGTGAACACTCACAGAGGCCAGAAGAGGGCACTGGATTCCCTGGAGCTAGGTTAGAATTGCTTGTGAGCCAACTGAGCTCAGTGCCGGGCAATCCAACTCCAACAGCCTGAAGGAACAGCTTGCCTTCTTAATCACTGAGCTGTTTCTCCAGCCCTGCCTCCCTGGCCTTACTATTCATTTATTTATTTATCTGTTTGCTCATTTACTTAGATATTTGTTTGTTTTGCTTTTGAAATTCCAAACATAATTTTTATTTTGCAGCATTTTCCTAAACCCCCTAACTGCTCTCTAATGTAAATATGTAATTTGAATAAAATTATTATTTTTTAAAACTCTAGCTTTTTGTTAAGATTGATAATATCAGCCAATTAAAAATTGAGTCCATAACACTCAATATTGTTAATTGAGACTCCATGAGGTATTTAGAACCAGTACCAAAAATGAATAAATAACCAAAATAAAGTCAGTGTAAGAAAAATAGGCCTACAACCCAACTGGCTGAAAGGAAGTAATTCAGAAAGCATGAGACAGTCATCCGTCAGACCAAGTTTAGGATCATTTTAGGTGCTCAGTGAACACTTTAGCAGTGTCTAAACGGTGGGTCTCAAGAGGTGTGAGGTAGGAAGGGAGGAAGAAAAATACAGATACTCCACGGCAGAGAGGCAGGTACAGAGCTGGTAACCCTTGAATGTTTACCATACCATGTTCAGGAGAGGACATAACTTTCCTGGAATGAACATTTTTGTTTTATGGAAACTCCAAGGAGATCATGGAATAGGTATTTTAACATCAGAAAAGGGAGAAGATACTTTCAAACCGGGTTTTTGTTGTTGTTTTGAGGCAGAGTCTCCTTGTGTACCGCTGTCGAGCCTGGAATTCACGAAGAGGATCAGGCTGGCCTCGTACCCATGGAGGTCCATTTGTCACTGCCGCCCTCCCAAGTGCTAGGATTAAAGGTGTAGGCCACCAGGCCTAGTTCTTGTACTGATTAAAAATGAAAAGCAGTCAGCATCTGGGAAGCAGTTAAAGTGTGTGTTTCACATGGAGAAATAGAAATAGATGCTGCATGGTATTTTGTTTCACCCGGGAATGGTAAAAGATTAGAGGTACAACAGTTTTGCCTTGTTGAATTTTAGATGGTGTAAAATTAGTTCTTACCATGCAACATTTATAGGGGAGAAAGGGCACACAGTTGAGGAAGCTAATATGATGGAATATTAACTGTGGAGACTACCTTGCTTATTAAAGGATGTTTTTCCCCTGGTCAAACATCTCCTGATTTGCTGCATACTAGGATACTTACAGGAGATTTAAAAAAAAAATAAATAAGTAAAGACTTGTAAGACAATATGGCCCCTTCATGTTAACATGTCTATTTAACATATCTTTGTTCAGGTCTTGTTCAGGCTCCATGTTGATGAGACTTGATGTAGGTTCTCTGTTATTTCTAGATGAATTCTCACAGTAAACCTTCTGTTCTTCTGGCTCTTATAATCTTTCTGACCCCGTTTCTGCTGTGATCCGTGAGCAGTAGGTGTGGAAGTTCCGTTAGAGATGGATCAGTTGTTGCTGGACCCCACTAAGTCACTTGTTCTCTGCATGGGATTGGGTGTGTTTTTTACCGTAATGATTCCCATCTGTTGTGAGAAGTTTCTTGGATTCGGGGTGAGATCTACACTTATTTGTGGGTATATAAGGACAAATACTTAGGAGGTAG